CCCCCATGCACATCCCCCCACGTGTTCCCCTTTCACTCCCAGCCGTGTACCCCATCAGCCCATGTGCGTCCCTCCGTCCATCACTCTTGCACCCATGTCCCCTCCCCGTGCTCCTGCCCGCCCTGGCCGCGGTGTCCCCGTCCCCGAGGGGACAGGCCCTAAGCCCTGTTTGGATTCCCGGCCCAGCGGTACGTGTCAGCGCCCAGCGGGAGGGATGGGGAGGTGAGCAAGGCACAGCGGGCAGCGGCAGCCGGGGAGGAGGCGGGCGGGCAGCCCACCATCTTCAGCAAGATCATCGACCGCACCGTCCCTGCCACCATCCTCTATGAAGATGACAAGGTAGTGGAGACAGCAGGGCGTGTGTCCCCACAGGGGGAGGGGGGGCAGCATGGCAGCACCCACGGGTGTGGGGCTCACCCTGCTCCCCCTGGCAGTGCCTGGTCTTCCGTGATGTGGCCCCCCAAGCCCCCGTCCACTTCCTGGTGATCCCCAAGCGCCCTATCCCCCGGATCAGCCGTGTGGGTCCCCAGGACACCGAGGTGAGTGCAAGGGGGTCCCTGGGACGTTGGCAATAGGGGTCACAGAGTGCTCACCCTCCTGCTCCCCTCTCCTGCAGCTCCTGGGGCACTTGCTGGTGGTGGCAGCACGCACGGCACAGGCAGAGGGGCTGGCTGAGGGCTACCGCCTTGGTGAGTTGGTGTCCCCTACTGTGCCATGGGTCAGGACCCTCACTGGTGGGCTTAGGGGCCTGGGTGTGCAAGGGGGTAGCCTGACACCTGTCCGTCTCCTGACAGTGATCAACGATGGGAAGCACGGTGCCCAGTCCGTCTACCACCTGCACCTCCATGTCCTGGGTGGGCGTCAGATGGGCTGGCCCCCTGGCTGACCCCCCACTGCCCACCACCCCCCAATAAAGCATCTCCTTGGTGGTGGCTTCAGTGGCTCCATGTCCAGGGGGCTTTCTTAGGGGTGGGGGTTTTCTTAGGGGTGGGGGTGGCTGGCCTGGGCAGGGCTGGCCTCCAGTGTCGCAGCAGTGGGGAATTGCTACCCTGCTTTTAGCAGAGGTTCTAGGCTCCCCCCATGCCAACCTGCCCATGCTGGAGATGCTCTGGAGCCCCATGGCTGAAGCAAAAGGAATTTGAGGGAGTGCCCACATGCCAGTGGGAAAAGGCCCATCCTGTTGCTGGGCTGGGGGGAACAGGCTGTATGCCACAAGGGTGTCCCCAACCTGGGCAACATCCCAGGAGTGTCAGCATCACACCATGCCCAGGGCTGCCGGCCCAGCCCACTGCCACCACACAGCCCCAGCACCCCTGAGCGCCCTTACCCTGCCTCAGTGTGCTCCCCAAGCACCACTCTGTTCCCACCAGAGCCCCACACTGGGCACTGATGCTTGTCTGCTCTGCAAAAGCAGCTAATTGCACTTAATTGATCTAAAAGCAGTGACTGCACATGTACTCCTCCCTATGCCAGAGGGAGCTGACTGTGAGCTCCCAGGGGGTTCATAACCCGAGCAGAGCACAGTGTGGAACAGGCTGAGTGGCGGGTGGGCCTGCTGTCTCCTCCACATATACGTGCCCTTGTACCCCTGCTGCACTGCAGTGCAAAACTCACTGCACTGCACTCCCCAGGCTGCCCTACATGCAAAATGCCACCAGCATGGTACACTCCTGTTTACACCCCTTGGCCGCATGCTCGTGCCTGCACGTGTCAGCATCCCACGGCGAGGGGAGCGCACGCGGGGGCTCCGCTCATGCGGCCGCCCGCTCCCTGCCGCGTGCCTCCCGCTCCCACTGCTCCGTGGCCGGGCGCTGGGGCTATATTTAGTGGCGGGGGCCGGTGCTGGCGTGGTGCACGGCCCACCTGGCACTGCTGCCGGGGCTGGCTGGGCCCCTGCCAGCCGCTGCGCAGCGGACCGCAGCCCGCCGGGGAGAATGGCAGCTCTGTTCATCCCCCCGGCTCGGTGGCGCTGGCGGCAGGGGCCCCCCGGGAGCTGCGTGGGGCTGTGGCGGAGCCTAGTTCGCTTCCCACACATACACACCCAGAATAGCATAGGGAGTGTTTTTGGGGTGTAAATGAGCCTTAAAAATGTTGATAGCTAATGCTTCCTGCCTCCGAGGCTCAGCAGAGGATGGGGTCACACTCTTGGACACAGGATAATACTGCCTCAGAGATGGGTACCCCAAATCGGGGCTGAGTATCTCTGGGGATGTGGGGACTCCAAAGAGGGGCCAGGGATCCCCCGAGCATCATCCCTCAGGGCTCACCTAGAGCAGCCCCCCCGGGAATGCTGTGCTGGGCTGAGGGCGTGTGCTGGCACGCGAGGTCAGGGGCTGGACGCCTGCCATTGCGTTTCTTCCTGTGACAGGTTTATTTTGTCAGTCCCTGAGCAGCCGCGGGGCAGGACAGCGGTCACAGCCCCATGGGGCTGAGGGGGGAGGGGGAGAGGACGAGGGCCAACGGCTGTTTTGATTCTTCAGCTGAGGAGGATCACAAATGACGCAAGTTCCCAAAAGAGCTGGGCAGGGGGGCTGTGGGGGATGTGTCAGCCGGCAAGAGCCAGCCAGATGTGCTCCAGCAGCTCCAGGGCTGCTGCCCCACAGTGATGCTATCAGGGCACAGCCCCACAGAGATGCCCCATTGGCCACCCCGGGGTTTGTTTTGGCCCACAGTGAGTTTACCCCCTGGGCTGGCATAGCTAGGGTTCCTGTCCTACACAATACTGTGGTGCTGTTAGTGTCTCTTCAGTGTCCCCCAGGCACCCACGCTGCCTGGCAAGCTTGCTTTTGGCAAGCCCACATGTGTGTGGTGGGGAATCCGGGGATGCTCCCGGGTGCACCCAGGCTGCAAGCTGGGGCAGGGTGCCCAAGCTGCCATCCCTTCAGCACAAGCTGGGTGTAGGGGTGCACTGCAGGGGCCAGTGCTGGGCCCGTGGCTGAGTGCGGGAACAGCACCAGCAGTATTCACCCCAGCACCCTCAGAGCGAGGCCCCAGCCCTCGGGGGCACCCTGGCACTCCCCTCCAGCGGCAGCAGGGCCGATGTGGCCCAGCATGGGGGAGCCACGATATGTGCTCGGGCCACGGCTCCTGCCTCTCCTTGCTCGCTGCAGCTGCACGACAGATGGGCTCGGAGGAGCCCCTGCCTGGCGCGGGGCTGAGCGCCCGCAGGGAGGAGCCGCTCCCCGGTGGGGGGCCCCCCAGGGCCGGCCGAGGCCAGAGGGGCCAGGCACATTCCCAGCCAGGAAAAACAGAGGCCCCAGCGCCGAGCCCGCGGTACCCCGCCGGCGCACACCGCAGAGCGCTGCAATAACAGCCCTCGCCGCCCGCTATCAAAGGGCCCTTCTTCTGCTCCGTCCCCGCAGGGATGGGGCCGGGGGACCAGCGAGGGCTGGCGGCGAGGGGAGGCAGATGCTCCACGCCGGCTGCACCCAGCCAGGCGCCGGGCATGTCCGGCCCCGTCACCCTGGGCCGGCCGGGGGCCGGGGTGTGGGGTGGGGGTCGCTTAGGTCGCGCCGTGGGGAGCAGCGTGTCCCCAGGAGCCCTGGGCACGACTCTCCTGCCGCCACAGAGGGGCTGTGCTGGCCCTGCCCGGGCACAGCGCTCCCGTCTCCAGGGCACTGGGACAGGCTAGCACGAGAGGCATGGACCCCAGGGATGGGGACACTCAGCCCCACGGCGCGGCCACGGCCGTGTTCCTGCGGCCCCCGCTCCCCTGCATCCCTGTGCCCCACACACGCTCCGCGCCCCCCCAGCACCCCCTTATCCCTATACCCTTGCACCCCGATGCCTCCCGCAGCCCCGTCCACCTGCACCGCCGCGTGGCATCTCCCCTCAACCCTAACCCCCCTGCGCCCCCGGGACGCCATACCGCCGGCTCTCAGCACCAGTGCACCCCCGAGCCCTGCGCCCATCCCTCCTCAACCCCATCCCCCCGCAACATCCCCTCCCCTCCCCGCTCCCCATCCCCCGCACCCCACGCGGGCCACGCCCACTTCCAGATGACCACGCCCCTCCCCGTCAGACCCCGCCTCCTGGCCCCACCCATAGCGGGCTCTGGGCCCCGCCCCCTCAGTGCTCTCCACCAATGGGAGGCGCGCACGCGGCCACCGCGCGCCGTCTCCATGGAGAAGCGCGCATTCCATCCCGCCGCGCACGCGCCATGGAGCCGGGAGCCGGCACCCCTCAGGGGTGCGGCCGGGAGCGGGAGCGGGGGCACTGAGACCCCTCAGGGTGACCCCCGAGGGGAGAGCCGGGGGGGCACGGCCTGCGAGCACTGAGGGGGAGCAGGGGAGGATAAGGAGATGGGGGAGTGCGGCCTAGGCAGGGGGTGCGTGGGGGCGCAGCGCCCCGGCAGGAGGGTGATGGATATGGGGGGCAAAACCCCGGGCTGGAGACAGGGGGAAGCATGTTGCTGCAGGAGGTCAAGCGGGCGGAAGGGAGCTGTGGAGGGGGAGATCCTCCCGGAGCGCAGACCCAGCAGCAGGCTCTGCTTCCGTCCCCAAACGGAGGGAAGTCCCTCCTTGTCCCTTGCCCCAGTGTGGGGGTGGCACTGCAGGGGACCCCGGGTCCCTCGCCTCTGGGCCCTGCCCGTGCTGGTGGGGGCTGGGGATGTGGTGGGCAATGGGGGGCTGAAGGGTGTGCCCCGTTGCCTTTCCTCAGGGTCTGTTCCCATCTGCAGGGTAGCTCTGACGGGCCATGTGGGTCCCACATGCCCTGGGGAGAGGTCACCGTGCCTGGGCAGGGTCCAGGGTGACATCCCCCATGTGCCCATGGAGAAGCTCCCGTGCCACGAGGAGCCACTGACAGCCACGGCCAGGAGGCTCCGGGAGATGTCAGACATAGCCGACGTGCTGGAGATGCCCACCGAGCTGCCTGCCGAGGCTCTGCCACCTGTGCCCAGCCCCAAGCCAGCCCGAGAGATTGTGAACGAACCCGCTGAGATCAAGCTACCTCCCTGGCTTGGAAACTGGGGGACGTGCCGCGAGGAGATGCCAGTGGAGCCCCCCTCTCCACCAAAGCCGGCAGAGCAGCCCAGCCAGCCCCGACGGGGCCGCCCGATCCGCACCTGGCTGGGGGAGGTAACTCCATTAGGGAAAATGGCCCTCAAAACCGGCCCCACTGTATCCCACATGCTGATTCTGTGAAGCTCCCCGCTCCTGAGTAGACCCCTCTCTTTAAATAGCCACTCTTGGCTGAGCCAGGACTTCCCAGACGACCTTGAGCCCGGTGGGTAGAAAGGGGATGAAATTCGATAGCACAAAAGGCACGGGCAGGCACGTGGGAAGTGACAGTGAGGCTTTGGGAGGAAAGCTGGAATCTTGCTGCTGGCAGGCAGGATCTCCATGCAACAGCCCATCAGGGATGTGGGGCAAGCAAGGCTTGGGGGACACCTAATGGGTCAAATTGTGCCACAGCCTGGGGACCCCATGGTTTGTTCAAGTGTCCTAAGAGAGCTTGCCCAGCACAGGAGCAGTCCAGGCACCCCTTGGCTTGGGGCAGCCATACACGGTCAGCAGATGTCCACCAGGCAAGGAGGGGTCAGCCCTGCCCCAAGCTGCAGGGTGTCCTTGTTCCAGCATTCCCAGGGAGCTGGCTGGAAGGACTGTGACACCCCCCCCCCCCGGTTTTGCAGCTCGTGCCTTTGGGGCTATCAAAAGCCTAAAAGCCAGAAGCACTGCAGGTTGGGCTCCCACCCCCTTCCACAGCCCCTACTGTCCATCTCCAGAAAGTCGTGGACCCCCTGAACTCTGGGCTGGGGCAGGAGCTAAGCGGCGAGGACTCCGCCCACCGGCGCGGCTTCCACGGACTGCCACTCCATCAGTTCCTGTCCTCGCTCACCGACAGCCCCACCACGGACACCTACCGCCCACCCCGCAGGGCCCTGCTGCTGGCACAAGGTGAGGCTGAGCCCCTTTGAGCTGTGTGCTCCCCGGAAAGGCAGTGGGGAGTCTCAGCTAGGGGGGTCTGATGGCACCTTCCCCTCTGCAGGGCTGCGGAAGGCCACGCTGGCGTCCATGCTCTACGAGAAATACAGGCAAGCCTGCACCCCTGCGTGACACCCATCCTTGGGGCTGTGCAGAGGGGAGCCGGGATGGGGGGTACCCCAGGGCTGAGGGGTGTGGCGTTTGCTCTGACTGCAGTAATGAGACGGAGGAGGAGATCCGTCCCCGCCCACAGCCCATGGAGTCTGTCTCCACCACGCACCGCGACTTCGCTGCCAGGGGCTTCCAGCCCACACCTCCAGCTGTCACCCAGGTACAGGCAGGAGATAGCCCCCCCCCCCCCCCGCCACCTCCCAGCTTGTGGCAGCTCCCAGGGAGGCTGCAAGGCTCCTCTGTCCCCCCGAGTGTGGTGTTCCCCCACTCACTGTCACTTTGCTTCCACTTGCAGCCCCACAATTACTTGACGGAGCAGCCAACGAGCTTCTGGCTGGAGCAAGCCCGTGGAGTACCAGTAAGCCCCCCAGCACCCACTCCCTGCCAACACCTCAAGGGTCGTGGCTGCTGACAGGGATCTCTCTCTTCTCTCCCCTCCAGGGTGTCACCGCTCTCTTCAGCAGAAACATTCCCTTCAAGAGGAACGCAACCTTCTCCACTCCCATCACTGTGTACCTAGGGCCACCCCACCCCTGCGACCCCCTGAGCAGCGAGCCTCAGACCTTCAAGGATTAAAAAGCAAGGGGACACAGGTGGCCCCTGCATCCTTGCCACCCTCAGGCTGTCCTCAGGCTGGATGTTTGGAAGGGGACCACGGCGTCCCTGGGATCTCAAATCCCTCAGGGCCGTGCAGCAAAGTAGGAAACCCTTCAGCCCCGGTGCAAGTCAGTGTTGACCCAAAACATGCTGTGGCCCCAAGCCTCCCTCCTTGAGCATGAAGGGAGAGCCCTTGCACAGCCTCGTCCGCTGGGACATGACCCCTCCCGGCACATGCAGCGGGCAACACGCAGCCACTGTCCCGGTCCCCAGGCACAGGTGTGTTCCAGTAAGAGGCGGCAGCGGGGCGGCCAGAGCATGAGCTCAGAGGAACGCACTGCAGCCCTCAGGCCAAAGCAAACCCCGCCGCGGCAGCCCTGCCTTCCCAGCACCGCCCGAACCCTCAACAGCAGCCCCTGTGGCTTCCCGGCCCCGGCTCCCCGTGCCCGCACCCTCACCCTGCGCCGCAGACAGAGCCCTGGGATATGATGCTCTGGGATGCTCCAGGCAGCTGACCCCAGCCGAGGCTGAGTTCGATATTGGGGTGCCCCCAGCCCCTCTCCCTGATTGGCACTCCAGGACAGAGAGAAGCAGAGGTCAGGTAACAGACGGATTTGGGGAAATTTGTATTTCAACAAAATAGTTGCAGCGAGTCCTATATTTACACCTGGGGAAGAGGGGGGTGGTATTTACATGACCCACTGGGGTTATATACAGGAGAAGAGGAGACTGGGGAGGGGGGGAGCTGCGGCATTGAAGCCTGACCTGGCCAAGGAGTCAGTCTTGGCAGGAATCCCCATTTCCCCCCACCCCAGGGACAGGGTGACATAGGCACAACTTCTGCTAGGGGCCAGGTACTGAAAAGAGACGGCAAAGTGCCCTACGGGGCAGCCAGGCCCCGGACCAGCTCAGAGCCAGCTGAGCCACAGGGGAAAGGGCAGGGGTGGCAGGAACCCAAAGGGTGGGGGGGACATGAGGGTTGGATCTGGGCCAGTTCCCCCCCTCCAGCAGGGGCTGTGGGGGAAGGTGGGCTTTGCTGGTGCTGAGGGAGGGGGGCAGACGGTGACATGGCCGCTGCCCCACCTTGCCCAGGCCCTGCTGAAGCAGGGGGGCTGCAGAGGTGGTGGTGGATGCAGTGAGGGGGGAGTGCCAGTGCATCCTTGGGGTCGAGGCACCGGGAGGCATTGGCAGCCCCACTGAGGCTGGGAGCTCTGCCACTGCCACTGGGCTCAGACAACTTTGGGGTCTTTCCTCTCGCCCAGCAGCCAGTATGTCCGCATCTTCCCTTTGCCCTGGGAGGGAGAAGAGGGCACTGAGAACCTCCCTGCTCCTGGCTCCTTGGGTCATCCCCCAGTTTTGGAACAAGGGGTCCCAGCCCGAACCCACACCCTCATCACATGCCCCATGCAGCAGGAAGGGCTGGCACCCCACTGGCATCTCTGTGCCCTTACCTTCATCTCCACATCCCCACGCAGCTCCAGATCAAAGCAGCCAAACTCATCCAGAACTTCCTTGGTGGTGGATGAGACATGGATCTTTAGGGCTGGGTAGCACAGAGGGGGAAAAAGAGACTTGGCTGGGTGAGGGAGCTGGACACAACCCGAGGTGCTGGACCCCAGCTGCCAGCCCCATGGCTCACCCTGGCCATTGGATTCCATGCGGGATGCAGTGTTCACCGTGTCCCCAAAGAGGCAGTACCGCGGCATCTTCAGACCCACCACTCCAGCGCACACAGGACCTGCCGGCACAGGGACGCTTAGGGACACTGCGGGTGGGCCAGCACCCCCCTGCTGTGGTGCCAGTGGGAGCAGGGACTCACCGGTGTGGATGCCGATGCGCAGGTGGAGCTGGTCGTTAGGACGGTGACGGATCTTGAAGGTTTTGACAGCCTCGAGCAGGGCCAGGGCCATGCGGACGATCTCACGGGCGTGCAGCTTCCCATTGCGCACCGGCAGCCCCGAGACCACCATGTAGGCATCCCCAATGGTCTCCACCTGCGGGGTCAGGGGGGGACCAGGTAGAACCTGGGCTCCTTGCCGCCTGCCTCACTCTGGGGGACTGTGCTGGCTCAACCACACCCTCACCTTGTAGACATCAAAGTTATCAATGATGGCATCGAAGCAAGTGTAGAGATCATTCAGCAGCATCACGACCTGGATGGAGCAAGGGTGTGTGTGAGGCTGGGAGCAGGCATGGCCCCCCAGCCCCAGTGATGGCACTGCTAGGGTGTGAAACCCCCACTAGCCCCACAGAGGGACTTCTCCCGAAGCCCTGCTCTCACCTGCATGGGAGTACTCTCTGCCGAGAGGGCGGTGAAGCCCACAATGTCACTGAAGTAGATGGTGACGCTGTCAAAAGCCTCAGCCCGTACTGTCTCCCCACGCTTCAGCTGCTCTGCCACGGAGCTGGTGGGACAAGAGGGGAGGGTGGTGAGCTCCCACTTTCAACCCCCGTTCCCCTGCATCCCTTGCCCTACACCAGCATGGAGAGCTGGCAAGGGACTCCATGCTCGCACAGCAGTGGGTGCACGCTGACCCCATGCCAAACCCCAGACCCACACACTCCCCTCTCTCCCCCTCTCACTGGGGCAGAATCTGGTAGAGCAGGTTCTCCGCCTTGCGCTTCTCCTCCAGGTAGGCCTGCGTCCGCTCTTCCACCAGCTTCTCCAGGTTGTTGGCGTACTGCTCCATGCGTGACAGCAGGTTGTCCAGGATGCTGGTGCTTCCCTCCCTGTGGGGGTGCAGGCAGCTGCCACTGCCAGAAGAGGTGCCCCCCCAACCACTCCCCCCCCCATGGCTGTCCCTGCTCCCGCCCCGGGCCACCTTCCCCACTCGCCAACCACCCACTTGTTGAATCTACGGATGAAGATCTTGATTTGGCTGAAGTCAGGGCGCTCGGCCGGCTCCTGCGCCCAGCAGCGCTCCATCAGCACGGCCAGCTCCTCGCTGTGCACCCCGATGTCGATGGAGGGGCGGAAGAACGGCTTCTGGCTGTTACGCACCTTCTGCACAATCTCTGCCAGGAAGTGGATGATGGTGAGCACCAGACCTTCCAAAGAGGGGACAGAACTGCCCCATGCCCACCCCCCGCCCTCACCTTTGGGGCTCAGGTCCATGCCCTCAATGTAGAAGGGGCCGTTCCGCAGAGCAACTTCCTGCACGATGATGCCGAAGCTGTAGACATCAGCCTTCTGCATGCCCGGGGTGGGCAGGTGCCCCTTCTGCAGCAGCTCTGGAGCTGTCCACAGCTTCTCTAGTGGGACACAGCCATGGAGCAGTGAGGCAGGGCCACCCCATCCCTGTGGTCCCCCCAGAGCAGGCACTCACTGGCATAGAGCGCATGGGTGTCCTCATTGTCGCTGGGTGAGCGGAAGCTGGCCAGTCCATAGTCAGTGATCTTCAGCACGAAGCGACTGTCCACCACACAGTTGGATGACTTGAGGCTGCCATGGTGGCCGATGATGCTGTTGTGCAGGAAGGCCATTCCCTGGGATAGATGGACACAGTGAAGCTGGTATTCCTCATGTACCTCCCCCAGCCCTTTGTGCCCCTCCCTTTGGTACCTTGACAATGTCATTGATGAGGGAGTAGCGAAACATCCAGTCCAGGTTGATGCTCTCGTTCTCCAGGACATCCTGGGGTAGCACAATGAGTGGACCCCACCAAACATCCCCGGGCATGGTGGCAGCAGCCTCACCAAGCACCCAGCTGCAGGGGGAGTCTGCAGCATCCACCCCCTTCCCTCCACTGGCCTCTGACACTTGCTCAGGCAGCTCGGCTGTGAGCCTTGTAGGACTAAGGGCCACTGGTATCCGCAGCCCCATCCTCAATGCCCAGCCCAGCCAGGTCACGAGGATGGTCTAAGTGTCACCCCTGGTGTCTCTAAGCCCCTCTACCTGCAGGCTGCCCCGTGGGCAGTACTCGGTTATGATGCAGATGTTAGGAGGGTCGATGCACGCCCCAATGAAGCGAGTCAGGTGGTTGAACTGGATGTCGCGCATCTGCAGGTGGAAGTGGAGCCAAGTGGGTCTTGAGGTTAGAAGGGGTGGGCTGCTGCTCCCAGCAGCTTCCCCCAGTTCCAGGAATAGTCCCTGCAACCCTAAGTAGGTTGCCCACCCCAGCTGAGGCCCCAAACCTACGTGTTTTAGCTCAAAGAGCACCTGCCGCGTCAACTCAATGCGCTTCTTATTGATGTGTTTAATGGCCACCACGTTGCCCTGGGGTGTTTGGGAAGAGAGAGAGGTCAGTGCTTGCTGAGGGGATTTGAGGAGGCAAGGAAGGTGCCAGCATCCTGCGGGGTGGGGGTGCAGCCAAGGGCAAGTACACCAAAGGAACTGGGGCATTTTGGGGGGAGGGCTCCCCAGCTGCCGCACTCACCTTGAAGTGGCCAGTGTTGGCGAAGATCTGGTACTTGCCGTGGGTGGTCATCAGGGAGCCATAGCTGGAGCCACGCTGTGGGAAGGAGGGGATTAGGGAGAGGAACCCTGGGGTGGCAGGGTGGCAGACACCAATGGAGCAGGGCAGGAACACCCAAGGGTGTTCAGCAGATGGTGCAGGATGGGCTCTAGAAGGTCAGGGTAAGCTCTGCGTACTCTGTAGGGAGGGTGAAGATTCCAGGAGAAGGTATGGTGCACTGAAGTGGGTGTAGGGAATGGATAAGGTGTGTCTGTGTAGGGGATGGAGGGCACCATAGGGGCTTGATGAGGTATGGTGCTATGTAGGGGATTCAGGGCTGTGAAGGGGATGGAGCTACAGTGGCTCTGTAGGGGATGGAGAGCATCTCTACTAGGGTATGAAGGCTATGTAAGGATGAAAGGCTGTTTAGAGGGTTAGTGAAGTGGGGCTCTGGCTCTGTAGGGAACAGAGAGCCATGTAGGGAATCAACGTGTAGGGGTGTCATGCAGGGAGGGATGGCAGCACAGGGGCAGGGTTGTGCCCCAGAGCTGGCACCTCTCACCAGGGACAAGGTGAGCCGGCTGCCTGCTGCCTTGTGATACCGCTCGGGACTTCCAAACTGCAGCTCATCCCAGCGGATCCTCCAGAGCATGCTGGCAAGCTCCTTCTCCAGCATCAGCTTCCTGGGGGACACGCGGGTGTCAGATCCCGCTGCCCTGCCTGCCCCCCTCCAGCAGACTGAGAGGTGCCTGGTGCCCAGCCAGAGGCTCCCCCAGCCTCAACTGACCTGAAGATGAGGAAGCTGGAGATGCCAAACATGACAAAGGTGAGGCCAGTGCCCAAAGCCACGATGGCCAGCATCGAGAGGGGGGCTGCAAACAGGAGGGGATGTCAGGGTGGCCTAGCTGGCCATGACGGCCAGACTGGCATTCAGCCATAAGGAAGGGCGCTGGGGCCCAAGGGATGTGGGGACCCAAGACACCCACTTTTATCGCAAGAGGGGTCATCCACATCAAAGACACAGGGAGGGTTGTCCAAGGGGGGAGCCCCTTTCACCCAAGGGATAGGTCGTCCCAGCCAGTGAATTTGCTTCTCCACACCCGAGTAGTGTCCCACCACCTAAGGCAGAGAGAGATGAGGCCCCCCTAGACCCCAGCATTCCATCCCTGCCCCAGCCAGGGGGAAACTGGTGCTGTCCCTCACCTCGTACTTCCCAGTCTTGGGGTCGCTCATGGCCCACAGGTTAAAGTCAGTGTCCCGGTCATTGTTGCTGTCCATGCTCACAAGCCCTGTCACCCCTGTGGGAGAAGCAAAACCCAGATGGGACAGGGACTGGGTTCCACCACCCCCACAGCACTCGCAACCCAGCTGCCCCAGTCCCAGTGTTACCCTGGAACTTGCGGTCCCGCATCTTCTCGATGATGTGGGTGGCATTTTTCTTGGAGCCTCCCTCACGCAGGGTCTCATTCAGCACCATGGCGTACAGCAGCATCCCATCATAGAAACACCCCGCCACCAGGTTCATCTGCGGGGGGGGGAACCTGAGCACAGCCACAGCCACGCACACAGGAGCACCCTGGCCCTGGGACCTCCACACCGGGACCATGCACCCACCCATGGCCCCATAACCCCACAGCGGGGCCAACATGCACCTTGCAGGGATGGCAGCACCTGTGGCTGTTTCCACCAGGGATGCCCCCCCCGGCATTGCCTGTGGCCATGTTCCACCCTTTGCAATCTGGAGAGGTACCTCAGACCCATGTGGAAGGTCCCCACCAACCCATCATGCAAGTGGACTCACTCACCAGAGAGTAATTGAGCTGCACCCCAAATTTCTGCTTAGCTCGCAGGATGAGCTGGGTTTGGAAATGCTGGTACTCAGGGTTTTGGGGCTCATAGTAGGTAATCACCAGCACCATCTGCAATCGAGCACAACACCCTGGTTCACACACCGGGGCCAGGCTGGGGAGATCCCTGTCCCCAGGCAGTGTGCACATCTCACCTGGAAAGCCTCGCGCAGCCCCGAATCCTGGCCCGGACTCTGCTGCCAGGGCTTGAAGGGATCACGGGCAGAGTCGCCCCGCAGGCTCTCCCCAAAGACATCCAAGTAGAAGAAGACATAGTCGCCGTTGGTGAGGTTTTCCTGCTGCGCCAGCTGCATGATCTGCCGCAGCATCTCCGGCGGCCCGCAGAGATACACCACTGCCGGAGAGAGGAGGGGGGATCAGGGACATGGTAACACCTCACTGCACCCTGGGGAACACAGCCAGCAACGGGGTGGGATGCTTTCCCCTGGGGAGACGGAGCAGAGCAGCCCCGACGGCACTTGGTGGCTGCAGGGTGGAGGAGTGGGGGGGGATGGATCAGGCGGATGGGGCAGTGCTTGGCTCGCCGCCTTCCTGTGCCCCACGGACAGCCCCACCGCCCTTGCTGGCACTGACCTACTCTTGCCCATCAGTCCTTGGGCTGAGGGGGGAAAAGGAGAACAGGGAAAAACTTGCTCCAAAACATGAGGGGGCTGCCCCAAGCACAGACGTCACACACCCCGCTCCAGCAAAAGTCAGACAGGAGATGCCTCCCCCCAGCATCAGCATCCCGGCTGCTCCGCACCAGCCCCAGCCAGGGAACCAGGGGGGCCAGGAGAGGTGGTGGGGCCGTGCGCCCAGAGGCCCCTGGGGAGCCTGGGCTGTGGAATGGGACAAACCCATGTTTGGGTTCGCGGCTGGCCGGCAGTGTGGCAGGAATGCGCAGGTTCCCAGATTCCAGCACCTTCTTGCGGCCACTGGCGCTAATTGGAAACAGAGCATCGCATCTCGCTGGTGTGACCCACACGGCAAGGGGGTGCCCGGGCCCCATCGGGCCGCTCTGTGAGCCCCCACCCTCTGCTGGGGGCTCAGCCAGCCCCCATGGGATGCCCACCCAGCTGCTGTGTGGGGGCGGCACGGGGCTGCCACAGGGCACCACGGGCAGAGAGGACGGACGCCTGAGAGTGTCCAAAACCCCCCCAAGCAGGGGCCCTCTATGCCCTTGCTGAGGATCCTGACACTGCCTCCTCCCTCCCCCCGGAAAACCGGGGCCCCGCTCCAGCCAGCCTGGCTGGGAACCCGGGATTGAGCAACAGAGGAGGCGGCGGCGGCGGGTGCCGGAGGAATGTCACGCTTGGGCGCTGGCCCCGGCGCACTGCCTTTCTGCAAGGGGCCCAGCGCCCCGGCTGGACCCAGGGAACGGGGGGCTGGGGACAGCAAAGAAGCCCCGCTCCTCTGGGATGGGGTCTCTGCTGCTGGACGGCACCCAGCCATGCGGGCACCCAGCCGTGCGGGCAGCAGGGCTGACAGGGGCTGACAGGGTCACCCACGGCAGCAGTGAGGCAGTCCATGGGTGGGAGAGGAAACCCAGCACAGCCACCTTGGGCACAGAGAATCCACAGCAATGTGGGGAGCTGCTCCTGGGCATGGGGGAGAGGAAAACTGCAGCAGCATGAACTGTGTGTGAGCAAGAGCCTGTTCCAGAATCTGAAATGGTTCCCTCTGAATGCTGCAATACTTCAAATAAACAGTCTTGGCTTCCCCAGTTCACTAGTCCTGCACCCAGAAGTGTGCTGTCCCGAGATTTCTCATCCAGGATGGGCAGCTCAGCGCCTCCCTGGCATGCAGACCCTGAGGGTCCCCCCCTAAGGATACAGAC